GCACGACGATCCTCCGGCAGATCCGGCGCGTTGTACTCACCGCACTGGACGGTCAATACCGCATTGGCAACGTTGGGGACTCTCTGCTGTTCCTCATGCCACACGAGGCAGGATGCATCCCATGCGTGAGGACCCTTTATCGCCAAAGTGAGAGGGATCAGTGGCTCCTTACGGGAAATGAGGCGGCAGAAGCAGCAAATGGAAGAATGATAATGCGACTCTTCTCTTTCCACCACCTGACGACGTTGGACCCAAAAGACGGACCACATGTGAATGCAGAGCACAGCCACTTACGTGTGCACTGTTATTCGACCTGTCGTGAAGCGGGATGGAGCCGCCGACGACTCACCTGGCGGAGATGCGAGCTGGAACGATGATCTCGCCCGACTCGCACCGTGTGTGTTCCCATCGTACATGCGGGCGCACGCAGGGCACTCCAGAGAGCTTATAAACCGTTTTTAAAATTTGTGTATGGTCACATTGGTCACGTCGCACACGATTTCCTTCTTGACAAGAGACCCGGTGATGTTTGGGCAGAACTGCGGAGCTTTATTGGGGAGGACGCAAAGACCGCGAGAGAGGCGTCTTCTCTCGACACACAGGAGGGCGGAAGAGGGTGCGAGGGCTTTCGAGGTTGGATGCGACCGCAGTTGGCGGTGCGTCACGATGATTGGCCGCGAGATTTGATTGTGCGGAAGCAGCGCAGTGCGACTTGTAGTGCTGGGCGGGGAATTGAACGGAGGCTGGCAGGGAGTGAAGAGAGAAGTGACACACCCACGGAGCAAGAGGCCAATGTTGCAGTGGCGTTGGTGAAGTGTTTTCCATGGGATGAGCTGACATGTTTCTCCCATGGCGCTTAGCTGTGCCCGCGCCAGCCCGTGTTTTCTATCTTTTTGGCTCCACAGAGTGTCCAGGCTTTTGGTTCTTGCTTGCTTGGCACTCCTCCACCATGGGAGCCAACGAACCACGACGACCCATCGGGATGCCAAACCCACGGGAATTGTGGGCTTCAGCGTGGTCAATCTGGATCAGTGAGCGGAGACCTGCGGCACCTCATTCTGCGGCGAGTGTCTCACGCACTGTCACGGGTATCTGCGCCTGTGTGCGTCTGCCCTATGACCGGCATTTGTATGGTGTACGCACTTGGTAAGGCTGAGGAAAAGGGCGGGAATCCCCACTGGCACGTGTCTGCAGTCATAATGCGTAAATTGTGGAATTGTTTGTGCGGCAAGGCAGCAAGGTCGCTCAGGAGAAGCAGCAT